TATATATATATATATATATATATATATATATATATATACGAATCGAATATTTATATTTTTTTTTGTTATTGCAGGATAGGGTGATAATAAGGAATAAAGAAGAAGTCAAGAGCGCACCTTTCAACTTTCTATTACAAGAAGAAATATTTTATTTTTTTTTGTTTTAGGGTAAAGAGGTTCGTGAAATGACTTCTTGTGGCAATATTCCATAGATAGGAAGAAATAATAATAAAAAAACTATATAATAGAATAATAGGGATTACCCTTTTGATGTTATGTGACTTATTATAAGTCCATCAAAACATTGTAGCAATTGGCAGATTGTTTTGTCTGTCTTTTGCAGTATTATGGTATGAAATAAAAAAAAGTTTGAACTTCATGTGGTTTTCATTTATTTTTCGTTTTTCGTTTTTTCGTTGCTTGAAATGTTTTTTCGTTGGTTACATTTGCTTATGATAGTCTTTTGGAGATATAAACATCTCAATTTTTCAAGTAGCTTTTTAATACGAAACAACCCTTTGTGTCAATCACATCTTTTAAATTTGTTCAGTTCAATTTGTGCGTACTTTGACTATTTCATTTACTTCATGTTACCTTTTTGTTTTTAAACTAAAACATGCATCAATTAACTTTGACAAAGGCATAGACATAAGAATAAATCATCTAGCGTGCCTGAATAGACTGTTGAGATTTGAACTCTGATCGTCAATGTTTCTCGTATCATTTTATTGATTGCTCGATCAATACCGATGAATATTGTTGATTAAAGTAACTAGTAAATTACAACACCATAGTACATCAAAAGAAAAATGAGAAAAAGAAATGGAAATATTTTCTCCAATGCATAAAATGGCATATGAAGACAACCCGAATTTTCACTAGGTGGAAACAATTACCTAGTGACCGGTTGGCTATATGAATCATCATTTCTTTTTCTCCGAATCTTTTGGATTCTCTCACATCTATATACTATTAATTAAAAAAAAAAGCAAACCTTTTTTTTCTTCTTTTTTTCTTTTTAATTACAGAAAATAAGAGAAATTAAACCTAAAAGTCAATGATAGGTTCACCAATTGTGAGATTTCTCTCCAATGACCATGGTAAATTGAAGAGTTTAGCAGTGATGAACTTGAATATCTTGTTCACATTAATGTTGTATGTTGCACTAGAGAAAAATAATGGTGCATTTAGTGCCTTTGCATATGCTCTTGCCTGTTCAAAGTCACATTTTGTATAATATAAGTATCAAAAACGAAACCGCTAAACTGATACAATAACAATAACATATTCAGTATAGTTTCACATGTGACATGTGTCTTAAGACAATAAGGTAAACACCTTTCTAGGATAGAGAGGGTGTTTTTTGAGTTTCAATAGACCACTGATTCAAGAAAATATTTTTTTTTCAGAATAGGTTTGAAAGTAACGCAAAAGATAAGAAAGTTCTCAAAGCAATCAAAACTGTCACTCTTTGTTGACACTAATTTTTAATTATTATAAGTTTAGCTCAAAACTCATAATGTTATAGCTACGTAAAATGAATAATGGTCATTTAAATATTCTTCTTTGAAAAATTCTATTGTATATATAGAAAATTATACTATGTATACAAATAAAAAAAATCATGTTTATACTTCATATATTAAATTTTAAACACTTTTAATAAACATTTTAGTTTAATCATTATCAATACATACCTAAATCGCTTGCACATACAAACCTTTAGATGCTAAAATCCAAAATCAAGAGAAAAATAATTCAAATCGTACGCTAAGATCCGTAAGCAATAAAAAATAATGAAAATAATATATACCTGACTTGCAATTGTCCATTGAAGATCCAATGGCAATTTCACAAAATCATCAAACTTTGTCCCTATCATTACAGGAATTGCTGTCTGATTCCATTGACGTGCTTGTTGATGCCAGCTAAGGACACTACACAAAAAACGACACGTTAAATTATACTGATAATATAAAAATTACATTGTATATATACTGTCGATATATATAAATTAAACATCATACCTACTGAGTGTACATCTACTTGTGAGATCAAACATGAAAAACATTGCTACAGAATCCTTACAAGCCATTGGAATTTGAGTTGGGCCAGAAACATCACCTGCATTATTATTATTATTATTAATTAAGATCAACACGATGTAAAAAACATCTCGTGTTAGCAGAGTTTTAAAAAAGATTGTAACTCAAATTAGTGTAATTTAAACAGTTTATCTAATAAAAGTATTCGTAACTATTGTCACGATTCGAACTTGTGACCTATAGATTCGAAATAATTTTTTTTTATACCTTTAACTTCCCACATGCTATATGAGATTCTTGTCCCTTTCACACATAAAGTTTTGTCCATTTGATTTACTCCTTTGGTTGACAACCCTTCATCTACTTCCTCTTTTCCTACATATTTTCTCTTCAATTTGGAAAGAAAAAATAAAAACAACAAAAATTAGTTACATATGGATCAAAATTAAAACTACAAATACATAAATCAATAATATTGCTAATAACACTATTAAAAAATAGAATTTTCTATGATCGTCGAGTTAGAAATTCATCTGAATTTTTTATTTGTCACCTATGGATTTCCAATTAATTCTATTGAAAATTCATTTTTTTAATAATGAGAAATGAATCTTAAACATAACTCAATCTCAAAAGATTGTCTATGGAACAAAAACTATCTAAAATCATATGAGAAAACATAAGGTCCATTATCTCAAGAAGGATGCAACCTTATTTACTATGTTAGTTTAGTTGAAACCAATAATTTTGATACAAATTATTTATACTTAATACTTAGAAAATTAGAAGATTTTCACTAAATATTAGATTTTGAACTCATAATTTCAAAATTTCAATGGATTCAATGGTAAGAATTTAAAAAATAAACTCATCGGTTAAATCAATCCATCTTTACAACCCACACATGTCAAAATCAAACATTTAAAGCATGAAACACTTAACATAGAGTTTCAACATCGAATATATCATGAATACAGATGAATCTGACTCTAACCTTACATACACAAACCAAATATCTTGAACATGAAAAACACGATATGGAGGTTAAACCTCCAATATATATATATAGCAAGAATAGAGATGAATCTGACTCTAACTCCACACATCAAACCAAACATCTAGAACATGAAAAATACAACATGGAGGTTCAACTTCGAAAAATGAATCTGACTATGATACCTCATTTGAATATATATAGAAGAAAAAAAAAACTTACCAAGAAACTTGTCTTTCCAATTTGATTATCACCCAAAAGACTAATCTTCAAGGCAACAACATTCTCAGATGAATCCTTAGAATGATCACAACAACATGTGGATGACATATTCTCCGAAAACCCTCCAGGGGACGCCATCCCCGCCCCAGCTGGCGGAGATGGCATCCCCGCCCCAGCTGGCGGAGATGGCATCCCCGTGGCGGCAGCGGTGGTGGTTGGAAAAGATTGATTATGTGACAATTGTCTATAATTGATAGACTTACCTAACCAACAAGCAAGAACTTTGTTCCAAAATGAATTCAAATATTTTTGTAAAATTGTAAATTTACATATAATTTTTCTTTTCATATTCAAATGAACCATTCTTCTATAACAAAGGAACAAACGTTTAGTCATTTTTTTTTTTGGTGATTTAATTTCTTAAGGAAAAAAAAAAGGCCTCAAGAGGGAGCTAATGCTTATAGTGCTTAGCTTCTTCTTTTGGCCTTAAAAGAGAGAAAAAAAAAAGACAAAGACTCTTTTGCTGAATTATTAATCAAAATTTCTTTTTATTTATTTATTTATTTTTCTTTCTTCTTCTTAGAGTTTGTTTTTTTGTGTGGAATTTAAAATAATTTGAACTTTTACCATTCATTTTATTTTTTCTATTTTTAATGTGTGGTTAATGGCTAATTAAGTTTGTAACTATTGCCGTGTAATTAGGGACGGTTGACCGTTTTAAAAGGTTTAAATGAAAATATAAATTATGCAATTATTATTTTCAAATATAGTTGTCTATAGGTTGGTGAGATTAAAAAAAAAGTAAATATCTTTTTATATAAAGCAAATGTTTTGTAATAAAGTAAACTCTATCTTTTGCCCGTCTTTTTTATTAAGTTCGTCGCACATGACACGTTTAATGTTATTTTAATATAGTTTACGAAATATTATATTAAAGTGAGTTTTTTTTATGTGCAGAACATATTTTCGATTGAAATTGCTATATGGGGCACGTTTAGTGCGAGTTCGGTGTAACTCATGGGATATAATATATCGAAGCAAAAATTTATCTCGTGCACGTCTGATAAATAACAAGGTTCTCTTATCATTTTAAAAAAAACTTTTTTGATCAAGCTTATCACACGGAATATATTTAATACAATTTTTAACATAATTATTATATATTATATTAAAACATAATTTATCTAATATACACCCAAAAGATAATAACTACGAATTCTATTTTATCGTAAAAAAATGGAGAAATTAATAACTAGTAAATTAATTAAAGAACCGACAAATGTATGAAGAAAGGGTCAATTTTCACGTGTAGCCAAGTTAGCCAATAATCATGCAACCATGTAAGGTATCTAAATTGGAAAGAGGTGCCCCACTCATAATTATTATTTATTTTATTTTATATTATTATATATACCATAAAATAAATAAAAATCTTATTTTCAAGAAAAAAATAATTGATTAATAAGTTTGGAAGTATGAAAAAAATCAGATTTCTTGGTTGTTTATATGAATATTTTTTTAATAGTAATAGCGAAATATTACTATACAGAACATGTAATATGATGTAATTATGAAAATTGACTTATTTTTTAAATTGTTATAATATTATTACAGATGACTATTGTAAAGAGGTTTGATTGTGTTTTTTAAAAAAAAAGTTTTTCATATATTTAAATGTTAATAATACTGAAATTAAAGTTTTGTGATTCTTTAAGAATTGTATGCTCTATTCCGCTTTATGTGATACTATTACTGTTTTTTAGAGATCCAAAATAAATTATTGTATTTGTGATAACTCCTTTTATATCTTTTAATGTATTTTAAATTATATAAAAAATTGTAACTTCTAGTATACTTTTTTTATCTATTTTCTAATAAGGTAAAATTTCATTTTTTTTTATAAGAATAAATAGTGATATTATTTTTCTTTTAAGAAAAATAGAAAATGATATAATATTTAAGCAGTTTAAAATATTTGGACCCAACAATAATACATGTTTTTAATTGATTAGCGTGTTGATTGAGGGCCCGCAAGACCTACTCATGAGTTTTAAATTCTCATATTCCACGTGTATTAGAAAAAAAATTAAAATTATTTTAACACTACGAAAAATCTTTAAAACGTCTAAGAAAATAGAGAGATCGATGATGATGTCGCATTGAAATGGAATGGATGAAATCAAAGTTCGTATATGATAATCTATAAATAAGAATGTGTCATCAAGAATTAAAATATAAATTCTAAAGAGTGATTTTTGGACTAGCTATATTATAGGAGGTAAATCGTTGGTGTACATCAGTGGTGAACAGAACGGGAAAAGCGAGACTGAGATGGTTCACACATGTATATAGAAGGAGCACAGAGGCTCTGGTGAAGACGTGTGGTAGGTTGACACTGATAGATCTAAGGAGAGACAAAAATATTTTAAGAAAGAATTGAGAAGAGACGATTAGACATGACACGGTACGACATAACAAGATATTTCAAAAAAAAATTGAAAAGAGACTATTAGATACGATAGGACACGATATATCTTAACGATCAAAAACATGAACCTAAATAAAAGTATAAAAATTGAGAATTATAGTAAAAGATTAATTAATAAATAGTCGAGTGATTTCGAAATTACGTGAACCCTACAATAATACGTGTTTAATGATTAGGTATGGCCCACGACACCTAATTAGGAGACATTTAACTGATTTAATTGATTAAAATTATTGGAGGATATTCGTTTGGTTTGGGAATTTTTAGGCAATTTGTCATTAATAAAACTTTATAGTAACAAGTTAGCAACCACATATAATAATATCCATATTTAAAAGTATATATAGCATGTGAGGGTCACTCATTCGAAAGTTTATTTATATATTTAGGAAGGATAGTATGATTATGCCTGTTTCATTATATTTGATTCGTGTTAATTTAATTTTATTTTTTAAGAAATATCTATTAAAAGACTATTTTACTAAATTATTCTATTAATTGTATTTTGAAAATTGGAATTCGACTACTAGGAGAAGAAAAAATAGTACTAATACTCTATATAATTAATGATAAGGATACATGTATTAGAAGAGGATATTATAAATTTTCTCTTAATTTGTAATAATGTAGAGCGAGTAAAAAGGAAATTTTTAGTACAAGGATCAAGTGAAATTAAACAGAACGAGTATTATGGGTTCCTCAATTATTGATGAAATCTAATTTTTAGTCCTTGTGATGTATGATTCGTCATATTTTCACCTTCTAAGATTCAAGTAATTATAATAGTATTTTTTACGTCTCAATGTAGAAAATATATTATAACTAAATTAGTTTTAGAAGCATATTATCCTCAAAATGTAAAATAACAATACAATTCTAGCATAATACTTGGGTGATTGAACATTTGAACAATATATTAATAAATCTAAAAAAAGTTATGAATATTCATGGAGATGAACCAAAGATACACATCTCAAATAATTGAAAATTAGTTATGTTTGGTTCAAATATTTTAAAAAGTAGAATTATTTAAAACAAAGGGACTGAAAATGCTAACCACATGTCATCTAATCAATTCTCATCATCTTTCTCTTTCTCTACCAAATTTATTTTAAAAAATGGCTCTTTTTCATACCTTATAATAATAATAATAATAATAATAATAATAATAATAATAATAATAATATGGAATATAATCTTAACATGAGCTAATAATAATGTCCCATGTGGGTGCACACATGTACATGTTTTTTTAAAAAAAATAATAATAAAGAAGGTTCATTGTTTCTTCATTATGTTTTTTGGTATTTAAAATTAGGTGGCATTTGTTTCAAAAATTTGTGGAATAATACGACCAGAAATTCGAATTTAAATGTTAATTCTTTTCTGAATATATATTTTTTTCACTTTGCAACCCCAACATTTGTATTTAAAGAATTATAAGAGACTACAATTGTAATATTCCTCTAAAGAAGGTTGATGAATATTGAAAAATTTCATGTTTATAATGATTATTGATCTACTTTTATGAGAATAAATTATATTTGCTCTGTTCCATATTAGTTAACTATCATTTTATTAAAAATAGTTATTTCATATTAATTGTTCACGTTAAAAAATTAAGTTAAAATGTCCACATTTATTTATAAAATTCCCCCAAAAAAATAATTATAGGCCTCATTTTAAATGTGTATATAAAAAGAATGATACACTAATATGAAACCGAGAAAGTAATGACATGATCAGAATAATAACTATATGTACTTACAATTTCTTGTGTGTAATAGAATGATAATTGTTATTGATGAGATTAATTATGTCATAAAAACAATAATTGAATTCTTGTTATGTTGTCCTTGTAAATAGGCTGCTGTCTTGTTGATTGACTTTGATGAGATTAATCATTATGCATGGAAATAATAATTGTAAATGTTAGCCAAGCAAAATGTTTTCCTAGGAAACTCGTGATCTTGATTCTGATACCATCATGTTAAAAATTATATTTTTAACCAATAACAACGATACAATTTTATTACAAAACATGTCAAACAAGCGATAATTTCAATCATTACTTTTGCATGTCCAATCTTTGGTTCGTTACAGAAATTTTGCAATAGGCAGGATATTAATGTTACCCAATAATGAAATCGAGCTTCAAACTCCCTCACTAATTCATCCACTTGTATAGATATTTAACATACACATTACAAAAATAAAAAATCAATGGCAAGTTACATCTTAAATGGATGGGAAATAATTTTTTGGACCTTGACTACAATTTTCTATATCAACTTCATAATTAATCTTGATTCTTGATCATCTTCATTCAAAAATTGATACTATTACTACATTATTAGCTTTGTGGAAACCTCATTTGTTAGAGAAAACATGGGAAAATCCCTTAGCATGAATCTCCTTTTTGTCCATCCAAAATTCATCTATTCCTCTAGAATTGATTCTTTCTTGTCATCCCACTTTTTCAACCTACTCTGAGCTGCTTCCACCTACAATCGAAGACGAATGTAGAATTTATAATCAATAGATTCAGTTTTTTGCACGACTTCCCTTATGGATTAGGCCAAAACAACGAGTTTGGTTGAACCATTGAACCTGCTCTAGATCCGTCTCAAATTCATGTTTAGCTCAAAGAAAGGATGCTCTCGCCATATTTTTTGTATCCTAAGAGCCAGTTCATCTGGAATCGTTGTCTTATATTGATAACTCAACAAGGGGTCAGTGTACACTCTACCCTCCTTAGACACAACCTATGAGATTACATTGGGTATATTCTTGTTGACCAACTTAAATTTGGACTTGATTTCGTCGTTAGGCCAACGTTTCCAAGAAATGATCTTAAAATAGATAGGTAACTAGATGACTTTATAATAAGCACAAGGAGTTTTGTAATTAAACAGTGTTTTGGAGTAATGTTGTCTACTTCTAACAGGATGATTACAAGCAGTATAAAAATTAAAGAGTTTACCTCTTTATTCCAATCAGTTCGAGCGGTGATCCATATTAAAATGATTGTTTGCATCA